TTGTCCAAACCTAATTACGAAGCATGATTCTTCGCCAAGTAGGATTCCGAAGCACCAGAAGCAGCCACGTAGGCTCAGCGCATTCGGGAATTATATATAGGGAGGATATTGGACATTAGTTCTCTATGTACGAGTTAGTGCGTCAACCGCTGACGCAATTTTCGGCCATTAGAGCATCTTCAATGCATTAATGTTATTATTTTATAATTTTTTTACAAATGTCAATTAATTAGATGGATTACGAACCACATAAGATAATTATTAGGTTCACAACTTTAATTCTAAAAAATTGTCTCCAATGGACAATATAGTAAATCACAATATTGTCCACTTGGCCAAAATAAAAAATATAAATATAAAAGAAAATGAATTATATAATTAGATATTTTATAAATGTTAATAATATTTCTCTTTCCTCTCTCCATTGGTTGAGTAGAATGTGAATTAGAATGTGGATGAACCACATTCTTCTTTACATTGTAGACATTAATTATGTCTACCTCGTCACTATATTTCTAATAATATTGTGCATTGGAGAATTAAAAGTGGATAAATTGCTAAATATGTTAATAAAAAGTGTCTATTCTGAAACTAAGTAAACTACCTCATTCATCATGAGTACACATCCTTTCTAAACCAATGATCATCAACTGTATCATGAGCATGGAGAATAATGTTCAATTATATAGATATAAGTTATTAAGTTTCTTACTTTAGGAATTTCTTTAGTGCTTTTGTACCAATAAAAAAGTAATTATTTAAACATATTGGACAATTTTGCCATGGGAGAAAAAATTTTGCAGTCGCATTGGGAAGAATTTTGCGTTTGAGGATGGATATCGATTTCTAAAAACCATTTTCTCGAAGATGTGAAAAAAAAAAAAAAAAAATCAAAATGGAACGGCTCAAATAATTTCACCATCCCGAGATCGCGCAGGACTTCAAGACGGATCTGAGGTTCCAGAGCTCGGCCGTGGCGGCGCTTACCTGGTCGGACTGTTGGAGGACACCAACCTGTGCGCCATCCACACCAAGAGGGTGAGGATCATGCCCAAGGACATCCAGCTGGCTCGCAGGATCAGGGGCGAGAGGGCTTAAGTTCAGGGGAGGAGCTATATATAGACCAGTGTGGGCCTAGGCCCACACTAAAAAAATAAGCAATACTATGATTAGGTACAACTATAACTCAAATATTAGTTTAACACCCTATTAATAAAAAATAAAAATAAAAATTAATGACAATACTTACATCAAGACAAAAAAAAAAAATGAAAAGAGAGAAGTAATGTAGAAAAGAAATCATTGTTCCAACTAATTTTGGTGAAAGTAATTTTACCCTTATTTAAATTAAAATTGAAAGAAAAATTTACACACTTATTGTATTTTTTAGCACTGTTCTAGTTAACTGATTGTTTCTTCTTAATTATATATAAAAAATTACCATATACTATAATTTGTGTGTTGTTAATAACTTAAGTTGTAGCCTCTTAGAAGTTTTATATATTAGTAAAGCATTTTATACATTATAGCTCTTTTTGTACATTATAATTATTTTTTCAACATTAATTATGGAGAAATATTTTTGTAAAATGCCTCGAAAAAAAAGTTCACGTTAAAATGTTTTGAAATGAGATACTTTGATTCCAAATACTTGAGGCGAATTCTAATATTGTTAGACTTTGGCCAAAAGAAAGTGCGATAAAAAAATTCAACAATGTTATTATACAATGTTATCATAGGACGATGTTGAGCTATATATAAAACTAATAAGTATATTATAAATGTATATTTTTGTACTTATACTTTTCTTATAATATATAATATTTTTTTCTAATAAGGACTAGGCCTCCACTCATTCTGTTCACAAGATTCGCCCCTGCTTAAGTTTGTCTTTCTAGGTTTGTTTGCTGTTTGTTAGGGTAAATAGGCATGGGAGTTTGTGATGGTAGTGCTTGTGCCTCTTGTTTTTCAACTCATCAAGCCTCTTGTTTTTCAACTCATCAAGTTATCCAGTTGTGTTCTAATATCAGTAATGTTTACTGCATTGTTGTTGGTTCGATTTCAAGAATTTCAACTACTAAGGGCTTGCTTGTTTAAGGCCATAGCAATGAATTTCATTGTATTTCTAACTGCTTAGTTCACTTTGGTTTGTGGTGAGATCCTAAAAACATGTTCTTTATTAGTGTACAAAAAGAAAGAAGCGTCTTTGTCATTCTAGATACAGTTCCAGATCAACCACTCACCAAACCAAACCTAAGACCAAAAAAAAATAAAAAAATAACTATGTTCCCAAACTATCTCATTCACAAAACTGAGCTTCTAAATCTTTTTGTACACTCCCATGGACACCCAATTTGCAAGTCGACTTATAATGTCCCGTCCTATTACACCGACTGCAGTGCACCGTGTGCTTCTCCCGACCAAACTCCTCCACACACATCCTCTTCTTGTCTGGACGCCCGGGCGGTCGCCTTACCTTAGGCGGCCTCACAATCCGTGCTTCACCTTCCACGCCGGGCCCACCACCATCCCTTCTACACTCGATCTTAACAGGCACGGGATGTATCTCCTCACCGTAAGCCAAACGGTAGCTTGCCACGGTGAAGCACTTCTCCGTGAAGGCATAAACGTTGTTTTTCGAGAACAAAATGGCCGCCGCCCCATGTGAGCAAGGTACTCCGTACAGCAGCCAATCGCGGCACGAACACGAGCACGTCCTTATGTTCACGATCTCCGACCGGTCGCCGCCAGAGAGAACCTCGAACTCAGACTCGTCTGACCGGAGCACCCAATAAGCCGAAGCTCGTGCGGCTGAGTCAGCCACGAGCTTCTCTGCCCAAGGGGAAAGAACAGAGAACCACGACTCGGATTTCGCACGCCTTTCCTCGAACTCTGCCATCAATCTTGTGTGGATTTGTTCGACTACCTGAATCACGGGGAGCTCTCGGGCTTCAATTACCCACTGGTTTAGCTCGTCATTGTTCGACAAGAAGTGGCCGTATCGAGTCCCATCAGAGTAAACCAAAGCCCAAGCGGCAGGCGGGTACTGTGCCAGCCAATCGGCAGCCTCCTTCGAAATTTCCTTTAGCTCAGCCATTTTCTCTCTGAACGCAATTGCAGTAGTCGCATGGGCAGCCTTCCAGAGGATGTGGACGAGCCGGGGATTCTTGAACTCCCGAATAATGCTTTCGCTCAAGTGTTTCATACAGACATAGTGAGAACAGCCCGGGAAGTTTCTCTTCACGGCATCCACCACTCCCTTTTCCCATTTGGATAAAATAATATTCGGCAGGATTTCAGTACACGTTTCGAGCGCTTTACTCAATTCCGAGAGGAACCACATCCAGCTCTCGTCACTTTCCAAATCGACCACACCAAAGGCCACGGGATACAACCCACCGTCCGGATCGACTGACGTGGCCGAAAGCAATGTGCTGAGATACTTGCTCTTGAGCTGAACCCCACCAAGACCGATAATCGGGAGACAACCTCTAACAAACCCGCATAACAAAGCCCGAAAAGAGATGAACAAACGTTCGAACCGATTATCCGAACCGGAGGTAAACACCTCGGCTATACTACCCGGGTTTGTTTTCCGAATTTGTTCACAATATGCCGGGAGAAAGTAGTATCCTTCTTCAGAGGACCCGTATATGGCCTGGAGCCCACGCTCCCTGGCCCGCCAGGCCTGCTTGTATGGTATGGTTATCCCATACTGCTTATATACGTCTTGTAAAATGTCCTTTGGCTTGTAATTCATATTCTCACGAAGATTTTGATCTATGAAGCTCACAATCCAGTCGATCGACGCCTGGTGATGGCACGCGCGCGCGTTTTTTCCACATGTGTGTGTGGGGTCCAGGCTTCGTATGGCGAAGGTTGGGGAGTTTGGGAGCTTGACAGCACGCACGCGCCACGGGCAGTCATCAACCGCGCATTTGGCTATGTAACGGACGAGATCACTTTTGATGATCCGGAGTTCAAAGTGCTGGGCAATTGCGGCCTCCTTGATCGCGTTGCGGAAGGACTTCACGTCCGGGAATTCTTGGCCAACCGCAAATACGTGGTCCTCCATCATGCATTATTAGGGGAAAAGAGTCGAGGAGTAAAGCATTCTTAACACGACCTTCGACTGAAAATCAAAGCGCATTCATCATGAGGAAGCAATTGAAGAAAAACCCTAGCATTGAAAAACATTCAACAGTTATCAAAAACCCTAATAAAAGATGCAATTTTTCGTGTGCATAATCGATATGAAAGTTCCTGCAAATTTACCAACATTACCCAGAACGATTAACTATCTCGTTAACAAATCAACATGTAAAAATCACTAGAAAACACGAAAAAAAATACCATGTAAATGGAGTTCTTGGTAACTGTGTTTAGATGCAAACTGACCTGAAAATTTCACTGGGCACTGATCGGTGAGGAAGCTCGAAACTCAAATTGGGGGCAGATTTAGGGCTCATTGAATTGGAGTCTTGCCGGTTTCTAGACTTCTGCCGGTGCCTCAAATGCTCACAAATGTGTTGACCAACATGTCATGGATATTAGTGTAATTTTAGAAATGTTTATCCACTTATATTATTAAAAAAATCTGAAATTCCCCTTTTTCATTTTAATTATTATTTGTTCCTAGTATATTACATATGCTAATTATAATTTGGATCAATTGGATTAAGGTTTTGATAAATAGTGATGTAATTTTCAAAATGTTTTAAAAAGTTATAAGATATTTAACTTATTTAATATTAAGATTGACATGGCCTTTTCAAAATTGTTGAGATTTCAAACACAAATTACATTTACATGTGTCAAATCCCATCACCAAATGTCACATTTTTAGACTTGAGATTTTTTTAAAAAAAAAAATATTAAAATTGTTACTCAAAATTGTAAAAGAATACACCATCCAAAACCTTGTGTGAGGTGGCCTAATCATTAGGCGGTCGATTCATCGTACTTTTATAAAAGAAAAATGCATACTTATTCTACGAAATGTCACTCTTATTTATGTTGTTTTTTAGAGTATGACATTCACGTTTATAAACATCTACAAATTATTGAAAAATGCCCACTTATTGACTCCTCCAAAACCTTCCGGGCCCAGATTATCAAGAATGGCCGTTGTTCATTCATCCCAAAAAAAAACGACTAATGACATAGAGAAGGATGAATATATTGATTATGATAACAAAGAAAATGCTACAGCCTCTGATGATAACAGGTAAAAGAAGCCTCTAAGCACATTTTCATGATTCTATTTTTTTTCCCACAAATTACATCTTTCATGAACAAGTTTGATGCTTATTGCCTGTATTTGTTTGCTGGATGCACCGCAAGAATCCAACGCAAAATGGAAAAAAGACACTTGCCATGCACGACCATTCTGGTCGAGTTAAAAAGAAGGTTACGTTGTTAGTATTTTCATGATCGTTCTGAATGCATTCATATTCAAGATCCTAATAGCAATATAATTCTTTATGCAATAGGCTATCAACGCACTGATGTAATAAGCATCACTACAACATTTGGCTTGTCGATAACCGACTATATGAAGAATTCTAATGACATTTGTAATCTTCAGGAGAGAGGGATTCTTAAGGAAGCTAGCCTGGAGAAAAATCTTCAGGAGAGAGGGATTCTTAAGGAAGCTAGCCTGGAGAAAAGAGCTGACTGTCTTGCTCCTCAAAGAAAAAGTGCAACCTCAAACACACATAAGCCTAAATTTGCTCAAGAAACGAAACAATGGCATTCAGGCAAAGATTTATTTTTTTTTTAAATTTTTTATTTATATGTTTTTTCCCACTCGACAGAGTGATTCTTTCGAGCAGAGATAATAAAAATTGGCAGAGTAGAAGAAGCATAACATTAATTGATAAAGAGAAGTAAAGATGAAAAATGTGCAGATTATTGTGGTGTTAAATGCATAGGACATTCGAAAATGGAACCCCACTCAACAAGTCCCCATTTTTAATGCATAAAACACCATTAGTTGAAAATAACACTTCAGGCTGATTTTCCCTCGAAAATAAACTTCAACTTATTAGTTGCAGCAACTAGTTCTTCTGATGTTCCTGGTTCGTTCGCAGAATGGCCTGCATCGGGTACCACCTAAGCAAACAAAATATTCATTTAAAATCACGACATAGCTAGAAAGTAGAAGAGCAAGATCTCCCTCGAGCCATTCAAACAGAGAAGTTCTTACTCTAAAATCAGCCTCAGGCAAAGCCTTATGAAGATCCCATGCTGACATCATCGGGCAGCAGACATCATATCTTCCCTGTACGAGATATTAAAAGAATGACTTGTTCTCATATGTACGTGCATATAGGTGTAAGAGAACGGAAAGGAAGAAGACAAAAGTTTTTTATTTTTATTTTATTTATTATCATGTATGAAAAATTGAAAATTAAAGAGAAGCTTGGAAGATAGTAATTCTTCACACGTAGCTAATTTTGTATTAATTCAGTTTTTACATTCCATCACTTTCCATCACAATCTACTTCAGTTTTTACATTCAATCACTTTCCTTCACAACCAACATAAACGAGCAAGAAATTTCAGTAAACAGACCTGCACAATTACAGTTTTGATGTGCTTTATTTTCTCAATATTGTCCAACAGGTATGAATCTGAAGGGAAAAATCCTCTGTTCACAAAGTAGTGGTTCTCAATTCTCGCAAAAGCCTGCACATGAGATAAAAAGGAAAGGAAATAAACTAATAAAGAATGTCAATGGAAAACTATTATAGCTCTCTCTCTCTCTCTCTCTCTCTCTCTCTCTCTCTCTCTCTCTCTCTCTCTCTCTCTCTCTCTCTCTCTCTACCAATTGCCTGATTTATCGCCAAAAAGGAGAAAACGTGATAATTTCTGTTTCTATACTGAAGTATCTATATAAATAGAGAGAGAACTTTAAGAAGTTTGATCCTTTTTATTCATATAAACATGAGAATCCAAACACTAACCAAGCAAAACTCGTCATCAGCTACTCGTTTTATGTGTACTTCATTTGGCCGAAGATGAGCTGTCTCCAACTCCCATTTCGTCCATGCCCTAGCAGCTGAATACTAAATCATAAAAAAAAAAAAAAAGAAAAATCGGGTAAGTTGAAAATACAACCCCACATTGCTATTGTTATGGTGTGATTACTTCAGTTGCGCCAGTTCTGATTAGGTTCATTTGTGATGATATTGGAATAGCAGTGACATAAATTAACTATTAAAATTCAGACTATGCATAAGCTAACTAATAAGCAAGAAATAAAAAACTACATCCATAATTTAATATAGAAGGCACAAGAACAACTGGAAAAAGCAAAAAGCGCATGAGTACTGTAGATTTTGTACATTCAGAGAGAATGAGCTGTTGTAAAGAGCTTTTATTGCTTTCACCAAATTTTTTTTCAATAATCGCCAAAAAAAAAAAAAAAA